ACTAATATATATATATATAAATAAATTATATATATATACCCCTAGGCATATGTACAATTGCAGCATTAATTTTCAAATCACAGAATTATCATAGAACTTGCAATTAAAACATATCAATTTTGAAATAAAATAACTAATATATATATATATATATGTAAAACGATGAAACGCGAATTTTAAAGGAATGTTTTGAGTTCAAAGAATCCCAAATGTTAGGTTTAGAAATTGAAAAAACTGATTCTCAGATCATCTTGAATCCATTTTCAGCGAGTTTAGTATCAAGGCAGTTAGCAACAATGTAACCAACACAACAATGCCAATAAAGTTTGTATCTAAATCAAATGTGTTCGAATCAAATACTAAAAAGAATAATTACAACTTTTTCGAGATCAATCGAGGGGTCAATGACATTCAAAATTTTATGTGATTATGGTTAAAAAAGTGTCTCAAAGAGATGAATCTAATAACAATACAAGATCACACAACTTACTTAATTTTAATTGAAGCACCAGAATGTCCAGTCCAGTAATCGAATGAATCAAAATGGACGCATTTTGACCATTTGGTGAAATATCAAGGATTATGATAGACGTCATCAAAATGATCACTCCATAACTATATAAAAATATAGATTATAATTCTAAACTCTTAGAAAATAATCTTTAACCTAGAGAAATATAGAGTTGTCGAAAATTTTAGAGCTATGTCGACTCTCACCTAACGTACTTATAATCCAATGTTAATCATTAATTAAAATCGACACCTATTGCCATTTAATGTCTAAGGTCATAAGTCGATCCATATTGCTACCTATCATATTTTGTGGCTCAATGCCAACCATCAATGAACTTCTTATGCTTTTTATAGACAACAACATAGCATATGTGAAATGTTGATATCTAACGTACGCCATCGATGTTAAATGTCTATCATTCTAATAACTTTTTTTACTAAAAATAAAAAAGATAATTGCCCACGATCGCCCAACTTATAACATTCTTTAGTTTTCATCTGATGCCAACCAACTATGATGTTCCTGAGCTACAAACATCTTAGGCTCACCTTCTTAGTAACTCAACTTAAGACGACGACCAACATGCTTGCCATCATCGCTCAAAATTCAATGATCCATATTGATTTTTCACACAACATCGTTAACGATCAGCATTCAATATCCATCAAATACTGACATCCAATGCACATCTTCTCAATTGCCTTGATCTCTTCTCCTTCAAAGAAAACAACTTCATTGACATTTTGTCATTGAATTTCTAATCTTCTTGACAACTACACGATGCTTGTCAAAGATCACAACACCCGACCTCCATAAGCTATCAACGTCAAACCCAATTTGCTTTTTTACAAAGAGAATGCATATGGTCATCCATCATCACCCGACCTCTAGTGTTTTTCCCTATTAACCAATAACAACAACTAACTTATGATGATGTCAATACTCTCCACTCACCATTCATTGTTTCTTCACTTTTTTTCACTGCATGTGACAGAGAGCAATAGAATTGGTGACTGAACTGTAAGCCTACCAAACACTTTCATATGTTTATACCCATTATTCAGAGTCATTTCCCTCACATTCATCACATAATTTCATAAGCAAAATTTAAAAAAACTACTCCAATGGCACTCGTCACTGCTCTAAACCTAAGATTGTTCAAACGTTCTTCTATCTATGTGCGAGAATGCCATTTGCTTTCTATTTGCTTGACTCTTTTTTTAGCTAAATTTTAGTAGGAATACATTATAGGTGGTTTAGAACAAAATTTGAGTTGAACTATACAATAGAATTTAACTGTAAATCAGATTTTTTACAAGTAATTGTTCGCCATAAACATTTGTAGTCTTATAACGACTAAAAAAAGAACCCAATACACTGAGTAGTTGATTGTTATAATTTGATTTGTCTGTGAATTTACACCATAAGGAAAAGAGCAGAATAAGAAACACTGTAAGCTAATAATAGAAAAAAAATAAGAAAAAAATTGGTCTTTTAATATATGGGGACATCCTCTATTTAACAATAATACTTCCATTCATAGAGAGACTAACTTACTGTTACAAATCAAGTACTCATTACACACAAATATCAAGAATTCCTCAATCTAACTCTCTGCCTTCTTCTGGCATGGCATTATAATTAATATCTTGATAATGTCTTGCATTGCAGATTTCTCCTTATAAAAATGCCTTTCAAAAAACTAATTATCGGGTAACCCTTCTATAAATCAGCTCGGCTATGGAGCAAGTTGATCTTCTTTGGTGAGTTGATGTCAGGAGTAGTTTTGCAACTATGTTGTGGAGCAAGTTGAGCATTCCTGACAAGTGATTGTGTGATTTCAATTCAGCCCGTTAATCATTATAAGCAAGCTATAGAGCATAACTTCTTAATTGATTCAATCGAACAAATTGACCTAGCCGAACTATCTAGCCGGCTAGACGAGCAATCTAGCTATTCGACTTCATTCAGGCACAAGGGCTTTCAGCTATATACTTATATAAAAAGATTTATTGAATGCAATGATAAGGATTTAAAGTGAGGGACTCAAAAAATTTAACATTCTGTTGTTATTTCTTAAATGTAAGCATTTACTTCTATAGCACAATATGCTCTAACCTAGTTCTTGATTTATATTTAAGATGAACCCATTATGATCTCATAATATTTCTAGGGTGCTTCATCACATTGTCTTATTGATGATAAATCCCAAAAAATAATTGGGATAAAAAATAAAGTATGAATTAGATTAACTTTTTAAAATCATCAATTTTAAGAATGTTTTTAATTCTTTAGCTCTGCCATTAATATGTTGATGTGAAATATAATGAATGTGCAATTAACTGGTGACCTCTCTCTGATAAACGGCCTTTTAGCATATCCTTTATTGTTAGAAATTGTATCTCTTGATACTTGATTGTATGTTTTGATTGTTGATGATATACTTTACTGTAAAGTTTCTAAGAAAATTCTGCATGAGTATTGAGCAATACCTACAACATATGCAAATTATGATATATTGAGAAATACTTGACGACTTGTGGAAACCATGAACCATGTTTATATAAAACAGATTTTGACTATAATAATGATTAAATTTTCATTATGCTACTTTTAATATGATTAAAATTTACATAAAACATGCTTACATTGATGATGTATGTATCAGGATATTGGCCAACTGGATCAAAATCTGATGACTCCTTGTAGAAATAATTAAATTTTCTATGAAATTAATGCTTACATTTCCCACTTTCAGGATAAATAGTTAAATTGATTTTATATGAATATGTATGCATAATATGCTCATAAGTGGATATTATGACATTTGAACATAATAATCACCAGTTGTACATAAATTTTTTTGAACTCCATTGTTATCTAAAGTACATTTTTTTTACTTAATAATCATGATAGACAAATCTTTTTTTTTATGACATCTATAATTGTTATAGTATAATATCCACATTTAGAGTTGACCTTTTTTTTAGCTCATGTAGTCATGTTCTTGTCCAGGTCTCATTATTTATACTTGGTGGATTTCACCAACTAAATTTGTTTTTTGCAAACATATATCTATCAATTTTTAATATTTATATTATTAGCTGTGCATAATCAAAAGAAGCATCAGTAACTGAAATGTGATTTTTTTTTTATTTGAGAGATTATTTCAGCAACTAAATTCTAATTTCATTGCGGTGGATAACGTAATATATATTATTGAACTTAGATGTTCTGATAAATTTATTAATGAACAAATATTAATCGAAACAATACATTTTTAGCTGTTAAAATGTTTCTTAAATCTCCACTTCATTAAGTATGCTTTCTATGAATTTGATGGGTAGTAAGATGTGAAAATACTATAATCAATAGATGTCCTTGAACAAATGCTAACAAGTTATTAGAATTCTTTCAAGCAAAACATCATCGTCTTAGCCCTCCATCGATCATAAAACATTCACTTGAAATCATCAACCATTTTTTTTTTTTTTTGATATGTTTGAAGAGATTGTAGATGAGTTAGATGTACAAAAAGTTGAAGCCACACAGCCAACGTAATGTTATCATAATTGAATTGTGGTTAGACAAACAGAAGTCACATTAACAATCATCAAGGTAGTTGAAGCTTTTATAAACTGCCAGTTTGAACATTCTCTCTAGTGACATCCTTAACATATAGTTTGGCTGCAAGCAAGGTTTAACTTGAATAAGATTTCGTAAATCTTGTAATATGGATTTATCAAATCTATGGAATGTTGGATATAGTGAATCCAGATTTACAAGTAAAAAAAGAAGAATGTTGGATTTAATCATCGCCAAATTTAGGGTGAGTTTGGGGCAAAGGTGTGACGCCACACCACTCTTTTGTTTGCTTTTCAAAAGATTGAAGCAAAAAGTTGCATTTTACAACCTTACCTAACTAAAGGTCTATTTGGCACAACTTTCTGATTGTTTTGCTTTTCAAACCACCATCACGATTCTATTTGGGGAACTACTTTCATGTTGTTTTTTAGAAATTTCTATGGTAGAAAGCTGTTTTCTCAACCGAAAGTGTGGTGGCTACCATAAAGCCGCAATCCAACTTATTTAAAATAAAATATATTTGTCATAGCCAACACAGCTTTTGAAAAGCAGTTTCTTCTGCAGCAGCTTCACAATTGCTTCTTCAAACAGTCGTAACTGCCCCAAAAATACACTAAGCATGGTGGGTTGCTAGAAAGTTGTGATCTATCTCTTTGAAAAAAAAATGCACTAGTCGCCACAATTTTTTCAAACACCAGCTTCTACTGTAACAGTTTCACAGTTGTTTCTTCAAACAACTGCAACTACCCCAAACAGACCCTTAGCATGCATACATTTAACTATTTGGGTTGATTTACACTAAATCCATAAATAGAACGTAAATCCTATCAAATGCGCAGCCAAACAACCCATTACTACCATAGCACGCAAGCTCAAACTCATACTGCCAAAGAGATTGTGGTTGAATAGATGGCCACCGCCTCCTAGAGCAACTAAGAAGATCAAGCTTTAGAAGGTAAGTTTGGTGTGAAAGAGAACGTACTGATGTGAATCCCCTAGCAATTTGTTTAGTAGCTAATAGTTGATTAATTGAAATGAGTAATTAGAGCAAAATATTGCAAATCTATGAACAGGGTGGCATATGAAAATTGATCAATCCCTAATTATAATAAGCAATTCTTAATTCCTTTCATCTTCATCTTCATTTTCTCTTCAGTATTCAAAGGTGACTGGTGCTGAAGCTGGTTCTGAAGAAGAAATAATGCACCTAAATATATGAATAGTTGAAGAAAACAATGAATAAACTGTCAGCCAAGCATCCACGCAAAATTCCAATGAAGCAGATGACCCATGGGAAAATTTTGGGTCAAGAATTCCTAAAAATAAGTAGGTAAGCTTACATATGCGCCACACAATTCTTATAGATTTACATATCTAACATCTAAAGTTTGATATTTACATTTATAACATCTTAGTGCTATAAATATACACATATAAAGGCGCAATTGACTTTTGAAAGATTAGTAAAGAGTTATGGTTGATGTGATGTTAAAGATTTGAATGTTATCAATATAAATATTAAAGTTAGATGTTAGATATTTAAATAGGTAGGAATTGTGTGGCATGTATGAAAATGACCCAAATAAGTATCAGCATTACATTATCAATCCAAGTTTTTGGGTAATTACATAAAACTGATGGAAAACACCGTGTATGGTTCAATTGTTTTGGTGAGCATTTAGATAAATACCATGAAATTCTTATAAATTTACATATCTCTAACGCCTAAGCTTTCATATTTACAAGCATAACACTCAAATCTTTGATATTTACAAGCATAACACTCAAATCTTTCACATCACATCAAAAATATCACAAGCACAAACTTTTTAAAAGTGAGATACATTTCTTCATGAATAGATGTTAAAAACTAAGACGTTTTAAATGCAAATATTAAGCATTAGATGTTAGATATGTAAATGCATAACAATTGTGTGGTATGTATGTAAATTTCCCGCTATTTTCTCACCCTAACAAAAAATTATTATCCTGCATACTGCTAAAAATAAGATTCGATCACAACAATTAGGACTTTGCAGATAGAGATTTAGAGGTTGATTCATTATAAGGCCATACCTGGAAAATAGAAAAATTAAATAATTGAGAAGCTGCATTGGAAAGCCGCAGATGCTTATTTAAGTACCCCTTCAGCTCTCAAGAATATTGATCTACTTCAGAAAAGGAAAATTTGGCTTCAGGAGTTGGCTAAGTGAAGCTTTCAAGCATAATTTCGAGTTACTCAAGTTTAAATTTTCTGTTGCTACGCTTCCTCTTAGCAGATTTTGATTTTTTATTAGCCAACAACTGTGCTGGTAGAAGTGCCTTCTGAGAAGGTAAATCACCAATGAACAATACATTCTGCGCCCAACCAGCATATTTTCCAAACCTTGCAATGAATATATCCGCCACACGAGCGCAAAGCTTTGGAGTCAGTTGGGTGCCAGAAAGCTCTGGTATGAAGTAGCGTGTAGCGATCTGTGCGCATACTACCGTTAAAAGCATTTTCATGTTAAAAAAATAAGAGGTATTTACATACATACATTCCAACATATTTACAATCTAACACCAAACTTTACATTTTACATTTATACGACTCAAATCTTTCATATAACAAAAAAATACCACCATTTTAACTTTTAAAAAGTGAAATATATATTTTCATGCATATTTAAGAATATATATATATATATATTGAAGTTTAGGTGTTAGATATGTAAATACAAAGGAATTGAGGGGTATGTATTTAAATCTTCCAAAAAATAATGAGGAACGATGAATAATGAACTGGACTAATTTAGATTCTTAGAGGTATACAAGGAAATGTAAATGACTCCCAACAAGAATTCTGAGTTATTATGATTAGTGATGAATAACAATAGGAGAATATTAAACATAAAACAAAAAAACACCTGATCATACATGGTAAACGATTTATTACAAAGTTGGTCGAATAAAATAATAAAAGAGTAAGAATGAAAAAAAAAAATCATAAAAACTGGAAAACCATATTTGTTTTCCGCATATTGGGGTTAGAATTGTGAGTTGAGACATTACAGAGACTCGATACCTTGACCACACCATTTTGTGACTCACTCCTAAACTCATTCCTTGATCCTCTCAACTGTGGCCAAGATATATTTCAGATGGAAATGAAATGCCTCTATCACTCAACCTAGTTATATCACAAATATATCTTTAAATTAGAATATCAGTCCCATCGCCCACACATCATTCACAGCAAAATTAATTCCTAAATTTCAAGCTAACTAATTCTATATGCTTTCAAATGCTACACATGGTAAATTTTCATGCATACTCTAGTAAATTTAGTATTAAATATTTTTTGATAAAAGTGTCATTTCCAACATTTTGCCACGATGTTCATGTTGTGTCGTTCTCCACGTCCAGCATTAGTTTCATATTTATAAGGTCGATGAGTGATCTGAACATTTCAAAGAATCATGTACAGTCATGCATTTCCATAGCAGAAAGGATTTACCTTTATATATAATAGCAAGTGTTCACGAGAACCGAGTACAAGTTATTTGCTTGAAATATATTATTTATAAATAATAGAAAAATAAATAGCAAACACACAAAATGTAAGTGGATTTTTATACTTCTTAAAATGTTAATGAGCAAAATAAGGCTACATTTAGGATTGGTTATTGATCATTTAACAGCTTGAAAAACGATAGTGAATTAAAATATAAAAACATAAAGTTTTTATATAAATCATTCTTGCTTATATTTAAACATAAGATCAATGTACGTCATGCAGGTATTTCTCAACAAATTTCAGATAAATGAGATCTTTATTTGATGGAGTTTCAACCCCTTTTAGATAATAGTATAGATGCGAGCAAATATTAAGATATGGCTACATTAACCCATGTTCTTTGGAGATTAACTGTGGTTGTAATAGGGTTAACTTTGGTCAAAGAAAAAAAATTGGGGCAACTTTTTTATCATAAAGAAAAAACTGGAGGCTTTCTTTAGAAGTCCATTCTTTTAGATTGGTAAAAAAGAAAAATCTTTCATTCATCTCACACACTGACACGCAGACATACATATATTTATGGGTTTCGACTAATTTGGTCAGTAAGAGCCTTGAAAGTTATTGCCAATATATTTGGTTTGAATTACAACAAATCCTATCATGCACAGTATAGAGTAGATAATACACACGCACACAGGTGCATATATAAGGCATATATATATACATATATATTTATATGCAAATTGCGCTCGCAAAAGTATTGTATATTTGTACAGATGGGTTGTTCAATTGATAGCAAGTTTCCATATAAAGAAAATGTTATAATTTTAATAGCTAAGTAGTAGTTTTCACAAACAACTTGAGGACGTAGACCTACAAATAAAGTGTCTCAAATCTTAAGGGGACGCAAGTAATTCAAGCAAAAATATATGATACTGTAACCATCTACCTTAAATTAATGAATTTCTACAAAATTTAGAGGTTCATAACACACAACTAAACCAGGCAAATTTCTCTTACTCTGACGTTTGGGCCTCATAAAACCGTCTATCAAAGGCCTAAACCCCATCTACAGCATTATTAATGAACTCCCTTGGGAACATACGCTGTTATCTTTCTCATCATTCATTAACAAATTCTCACAGTTCCCTCCCAGTTCTGTTTCTAGCCGAGTAAAGTGTCAACTTAGTCTCCTGACTATTTATATGAGGTCATTTTGGTCTCAGAGTTTATAAAAGTGTCAAATTAGTCCCTTAGTCTTTAAATTGAGGCTGAAAAAGTTCTCTTTGAGGATTATTTTATCTTATATGAAAAGACACTTGTAACTAAATTGACATATTTCTAGACTATGGGACTAAAATGACCTTGCTCAGTACTTGATCAAAAACCAAACTAGTAAAACTTGTCGTCTTCGACAACACTTAAAGTAAACCCATACTGGTAAACTTTTCACACCCTCATCGCCTGAACTTCGGCTTAGTCCTTCACATCGTTCCTCCTCTACCATCCCTCTCCCCTTTGTGGGCTACAAAAATTCAACACCCTAGACTCTCGTATTGTGTGAGAGCTTTGCATTTGGTGTCCTGGTTGAAGATTCGGAAGGCAGATTGGATTGTAGAAAATACTAGTTCTAAGGATTTCAATCTCATTTTGCAAGGACTTTTTGATCTGGTATTCAAGGTTTCCCATAAGCGCAAGACCCTATGACTAATTACCCCTCCTGACAACAGGATAACACTTTCGATTAAGGCTAGTCATTGAACATTGAATATTCAGCATAAACTAACCACAAATTTAGGGTTTGAATTATAAAATTTATCATCTTGAGCTTAAATTGGCTCGTGGGGGAAATGATGACGAACTCGATCAAGATCACATTGTTTCGTCGTCCCGGGTCTTGTGATCTCTTGTTTACTTAGTCGGAGGAGGTAGTTAACCCGACCTAATATAAAAATCTTTATCAATAATCATGGGTTGTTTTGTTCAAAGATCCCTTGACTCGGATGGTGGAGGAAATGATAACAAACTTGGTTAAGATCCCATGGTTACATTGTTCCGGATCATCGTAGTCCCTCGTCTTCTTAGAGGAGATAGTCAACCCAACTTGATATAAAAATCTTTGTCAATAACCACGGATTGCATCGTCCAATGGAACCTTATAAATCTGGGGTGGATGTATGTCTAAAGGAAAAAATTTTAATTCGAACTTAACTAACAAAAATTTTTAAGTCAATCAATGTACCTTATGATTCATAACTCAAAGAGTTAAAAAACAAAGTTTTGCAAACATACAGTTTAAAGTCGTGATCTTAATATAATAGTGTCATTTAGTGGCAAACCACCGAGTCAGAGGGTTCTAGTCATAATTGCTACTTTCTAAGTAGCCTTTGGGCCAAACCATACGAATAGAGGATGGCCACATCTTTACTAGTGTGAGATTTTTTTGAATGTGAATGTAGTGATTCACGATGGAACATTCACACTTTTTGAGCTAAAGTCAATCGAAAATTTGTCACCCCCAACAAACTTTGTGGATGATGAATGGATTTTGCTTTAAGCTTTTAAGTGATTAATTTTAACTTTAATATTTTGATTTAGTTGTTCTGAAAATTTTAATTTGAAAATCTTGATTAGTTTTAAAAGTTGATCCCTCAATGTCATATTTTTAATCAACATGACCATTAGAGTTTGCTACTTCCTAGGGTAAAAAAACTCTTTGCAAACATACGTTTGTGATTGTAACCTTAATATAATAGTGTCATTTGACAACAAAACCACCAAGTTAGAGGGCTCTAGTCGTGATTGCTACTTTCTATGTAACCTTTGGACCAAACCATACAAATAGAGAATTCGGGTTTACAGGTGAAACTTTTTTGAGTGTGAATATAATGAAACATAATATAACATTCACTCTTTTTGAGCTCAAGTCAATCGAAAATTTGTCACCTCCGACAAACTTTGTAGATGATGAATGAATTTTTTTATAAGTTTCTTAAGTGTTTCATTTTAACTTTAATATTTTGATTTAGTTGCTTCAAAAATTTTAATTTGACAATCTTGATAGTTTTAAAAGTTGATCCCTCAATGTGATATTTTTAATCAACACGACCATCATCATGATTTGGGTTTTATTAGTCTAAAATCTTTAAACTATTAGTTTTGCCAACCCCACTCCTGAAGAGCAGGATGATCGAACTATGTGAATTGGACTAAAAAGTTTTATGTATGTGATTTGGATATTATTGAAATTACTAGGCTCGTCGACTTCAGTCATAAAATGAGAAAGATAATACTAGTTAAGTGCCTTAGAGACAAGGTGGCCCTGCGGATATATAAAATTGAGATTATGCACACATTTTAACATACATATATTATACATTTTATATCAAGAATGGTACGCATGTGATTCTAGTATTTTGTTATTCAATGTATTATAGCATGATGCTTAATACATTTGCAAGGAGCGATTACATAATATTTTATAATCTTGCAAAGCATGATATGATATTTGAAGCTTTCATAAGATGCAAATGCATACTTTAAAATACTTACACAAGAGTTAGAAAATCCTTGAACCACAAATGTTGGATTTTAAAAATCATTTAGAATTTGAAATGCATGTATGGATCACACACAAAGTTTCATTTTGAGCTTTAAAAAGATCCGTCTTCTGTTCGCTAGTAGATGTATAACAAATTTGGTGACGAAAATCATTCAAAATCTTTGACAATTTATATGTTAATACATGCATGAAATCATATTTTGATTTTTTCAAAAGACAACATTTTGTCAATTTGTGAATTATAGATGCAGATTGGGTGGCAAAATTATTTGACGTTTAATGTTAGACCTTTGTCTTTAATAAGTTGAATTTTTAAAAGGACACAATTAAAAATTTCATTCAAATTTTTGAATGATCTATTGAATCCTATGATTAATTATTTTAGTATTCAAATTTCATCATTATATTTTGTTGGACTTAATATGCATTTTATTTTAAATATTCATTTTTCGATTTATATTTTTATTTATCGATATTAATGTCCAATAGTCCAAATAGTCCAAAATTTAAGTCATTTTTAGAAATCTAAAATTCTAATTCTTCAAGTGATTTTCAACACTTAACGGTCTAAATTTAAATTATTTTTGCGAGTCCAAATCATAAGAAATTTTGGCTGCCTCATCGTGTCGTCCTCTCTTATGGGATTACATTTGGGTGCCTAGCATGCCCAACTATCTGAGAAATTTTGGTTGCCTCATCGTGTCGTCCTCTCTAAAAGCATCTAATCCACCCGTCTAATCCACCGGTCTATAAGTCGCATGTGAGTATCCGCTTAACATGCATGAAAATGATTTTAGCGCAATTTTCTTGCATTAGTACCTTTACTTGGGAGGTGGTGATGATGACTGTGAAAAAAGATCTATAAGCCAATAAATTACTACTCAATTCTCTCTCTCTCTCTCTCTATATATATATATATATATGAAATGGATAGAGACCAGGTTAATTTGAACAAGGCTTTTGGTTATTACGGGTTTATGAGGCTCAAATTGGGTAAGCACGAGATGAGAGGCGAGGAGAAATTTGAGGAAAATAATAAATATTTGGGATAAGAGATTGCTAATAGAATTTGAGAGAAAATAAGGCAGGCGTCACACCTATATGGAAGAGACAAGGGGTGCGGCACAGGTAGATGAAGAAGAGGATCAATTCTGTCATTCGAACTTGAAGTAGTTTCGGAGGGCTAGTGCGCAGCGATTTAGCAATTGCCTTTCTCAAAAGGGCACGTAAAGAGTTTTGGAGACCTTCATATGGTGTGATCCCGTGGTTGCTTTTCCAGAAAAAGTCTTGAAGATTTTCAGAAGCTTCGTCTGCAGCGATCCCATTGTTGATACTCTAGCGAAGGGCGTAGAAGATCTTGATCCAGTGCGATCTCGTCATTTCCTTTCCCACAAACCTTAGTCATGAGTTATCGTGAGTGATGCAGATGAACAGGGCAGGTAGAGGCTTCAGCGAGAGTTTCGGAGGTCTCCATATGCAACAATCCCATCGTTGCTCTTCCCGCTAGCTTTAGTCGCAACTATATCGCAATGGAGATGCACAGGAGAGAAAGATGGGAATTTTGAAAGTTTATGTACAATGCGATCCCATCAATGCTTTCCCAGCTAGCCCTAGTCACGACTATAACAGATAGAGACGAGCACTAGAGCTTTCAGATGCATGTCAATTAGAAAGCAAAGGGGCTCGATTGTGAGTTTTCTAACAAAGAAAGTCATAAGCAGTTCCGACATTATGGGCTAAAAGAAATTAAAAGGCTTTTTTGTTTATTTTATTTCTCTCTCTCTCTCTTTATATAGCAACAAACTTAGGCAACAACTTCCACCCCCCTTCATATACTCCCTCAGACCTTAATCAAATGCAGACTAAACCTAATTGACATGAACCCATATAACATGAAACTCTAACTATAATTAAAATAAAGAAAAGTGTCGAAGTGGTCCCCTAACTCCTTTTAAGAGGACATTTTAATCCCAGAGCTATAAAAATGCTAATTTACTCCCCCAATCTGTTAAGGGGGGCTAAAATAGTTCTTGCTAAAGACCATTTCAGCTCATAATAAAAGAGTTTGGTGGAGTAATTTGGCACTTTTATAGACTCGAATCGAGTCTAAAATGATCCTATGTCAATATTCAGGGGACTATTTGGCATTTTGCTCAATTAAAATGTTTTGTAGGGCATTTACCTGCCACACATGAGTATCAACTGGAATTGCATGATGCTGATCAAGAGAAAACAGAGCAATACAGGCAGCAACTTTTGGTCCAACTCCAGGCAGGGAACAAAGAGCATCTAACACATCATGTAGATCCAAGCTGCGGAGAGAAGCAAGCCATTCCACACCCCCGCCAGGCTTTGCTTGTAAAGCTTTGACCGCACCAACAATATACTTTGCTCTGTTTGCAAGACATTTAACAGTCAAGACTTGGAAATGCAGTACAGAATACAAATGCTTTTAGAAGGAAGATATCACAATATGCCAAGTTGCCAAAAAACACCATAAGTTGCTTTAAAAAAAAAAAGGTTTACATCCACTTGTTTTAAAAACTAAAATTAATGTGTATTCAGTAATTCAATAAACTGGACCTTTTTTTTGGTAAAGGACTCTAAAGATGACAATTTTTTTTTTATTTATCACAATTCATGGTTATGATAATCAGCACTTAGCTATTTGGAGACGATATCACATCAGCAAATACAACAATTTTTTTTATAACTTCTTTGTAGCTGTCAAATATGAAAAATCTGAGCAAGCCAAATTTAATTACCATCATCTGCTCCCACGAAAAACTGAGAACACAAAGAACTCCATTGCAATGAGGAAACCTTAGTTTCTCCTTTGATTTCTTAATGAAAATTTATTTCATACATTATGGGATAAGAAGTGTGATGCACTCTAAAAAATGAAAAGAGTCAATTTAAATAATATACATGTCATCAGCCAATTATGAAATGAGAAATCATATAACTGTCCATTATCTATCAAACAATTTATCATTCAAGTCAACCATGCACCCAAATATCATGAAGATCTGTTCAAATCAGTTAGATCTGAGGAACTAAGCTTATGAAGAACTCATCGGATTTACATTGAACTTGTTAGAGGCACCATGAAAACTTCAAAGCTGCATGGTACTCGTCAATTATAATGCACTCGTTATAATGAACCCACCAAGCATTATATGTACTCCTCCATATCATAATAGTCAGGTTCATGATGAAATTGCCTGTAAACATAGTTGGCCTGCAGAATAACTAAGCATATCCGTCCAAGCTCAAAGCTACTCAAAAACATTCAATCAAGTCAATAGTGACTCCAGCTAGTGATGACCATAGTTCATAATCAACATGTAGTTTTTAGTTTATTTTAGCTACAAGATTCATGTGCTTTTGTATTAAACAATTGTTAGGCTTTGTCACGACCCAGTCCGAGAACTTTAAACTAATTAAGTCAGGTTTGGACGATCAGACGGTGAAAGACATTTCTAAACATTAATATTAATCTATAATAACATTCATATAGAAAAGAGCCACTAAATCCATAGCACACATGAAAGCGATCCTCTAAAAAAACACATAATATCATATAGTCTACTACAGTAATACCAATAATACAATAAAAGTGATATAACATAAAAATAAACAAATCACTACCTATCTTCTACACTCCCTCTCGTCCTGCAATAAAACACTTTCCTATTAGAAATTTCTATCTAGAGGATCTTTTCCTGAAAGAATAATTAAGTAGCATGCATTAAATATTATGCAAATGCCTAACATGATTTCTCAAATTAGCATTCTGATCAAATAATGAAGTTTTACATACAAAATATGTATTTATCATTTTATCACTTTACTTTTCTTTAAAACTAATCAATTATCCATTTTCATTTCCCTTTTTCTTTTAATTATAGAAGTCATATTAGAGCTTAGAAGCACCGTCAAAAGCTTTACCATCATTTATCATAAATACACAACATTTACTATTTGTATCATGAAGATACACCTTTATCATTTTTTATATCTTTAACAGCAACGAGTGCAATAGCATCCCCTACAAGTACTATAGGAGGTGGCTCCTAATAGACTTAAATTTGTATCATGAAGATACGCCTTTATCATTTCTTTTATCTCTAATGTGGATATGTCAAGTCTCTGAATGTACTAAGCAAACTGCAAAAACAGGAAAAATAGCAACTTTAAAAATTATGGCACCATTGAAACACAAACAACATACAACCACGAAAACAAGGCAAGTCAATCAATTTAACAAGGCAACATGCCATGCCATGCCATGGATGGAAAATATCTTTAGGGTAACATTCATATGGCATCATGGCTCCAAATGCAACTGATATTAAGAAATTGTGGTCAATTTTATATTACCAGATGGTGTGGTAATCATGGTAACAGTTGCTAACATAATGATTCGAAACCAATTACATAATTTTTAACACGTCATGTGCAGAACACAGCAGATCGAAAAACATAAGCAAAGTTCCCAACAAGGCTTTGGTTGTTTTAGTTTTAAAGACGTCCAATCTATGAAAAATATAAGCTTAATTAGATGCCAAAACTCTTATAAATCAGTCACCACTTTTAGTTCTGACAGACTAAACTACATATTTCCTCTTCCTTCATGACACCCAAATAAACTAATACTGAGGTTCTGTCTGGTAACAGATTTAGAGCAGGATTTAACCTGGATTTAAACTAAATCTTGCCGGTCAGTATGAAAAAAATAAAGCCGTGGATTTGAAAGTTGGTCAAATTGGTTCTCCCTATGACTCAAAATATCAGAACAGAATCAGCAAATTAACTTTTTTTTTTAGGCAATACATACGGGCACCTGAAACATTGCTATTTGCAACTATCTTTCATCCATTTTTTTTTCAAATTCTCACTTAAATACCAAAATTTATGAACAAACCCCAACCCATATTTATCCTTTTTATCAAATTCTCAATGGTTTGATCGTGGCACCCGTAAATGCATCGGTTCTGTAGTTCAAAATAATCATTCTCTGTATGTAACTATTCCTCTTTTTTTTCTTTTTTTTTCCCTTTTGAAATTTACATTTGTGAATTCATCATAAATACAAAAACTAGATGATCAAGAATCAAAGTCAGGCCCCTGAAAAGAGCATACCTATAACCAAATCCAGCTTCTCTGAGCTGTTGCTCGGTGACAGCAGAAAGCCTCTCAAGTGTGGGAAACTCATGGAAATGAAACCCACCAACCGTCCCTAAATGCTCGCCAAACGAAGACAGAACCCCGACCATCTTCTCAATCCTCGCAATGTTATTGTTCGAAGAGCAGAGGAACTGAAAAACGCACTCCACCGGATCCTGTCGCAGAACACGGGCCCCGCCATCGAATCGTCGAGCTATCTCATCAAACCGCGGATCCGCCGCAGAAAAACCTCGCCACAGAGCGGTGAGGGAGATCTCGACGTTAAGATAGTCACTCAGCGCAGCCCGCGTGGAAGCAGCGTCTGACGAATTGTGGAGAAAGAAGTGGATGCGACCAGAAGGATCATCATCTCCATCGGCGTGCTTGAGAGACAGGAGGTAGGGACCAACGACACCGGTGAACTGGGAGGGTCCGGTTCGACGCCAACGAAATGTCTGACCGGTGGGGAGAGTGTGGAGAAGTGATAGCTCCGATCTCGAGAGGCCAAGGGTGTGCCAGTCCCCATCGTCAAGGGCTGCCAAGTCTAGAAGAGAAGGGGTAAGAGATCTTTGAGTTCGAGAGCGGAAGGAGGTTGAGGAGCTGGATTCTTCCTTTGGAGGTGTTGTAGGATGCAAAGGTGAAAGAGGAGTAATGGAGAAGTTCACCGGAGTAGGCGGCGGCGTCGTCTTCAGCCGCCGCCGCTGACTCATGACTGGGCAGAAAGGGC